GCATGACTGCAACTACAGGTAGAAACAGATGACTGCAACTACAAGGTAGAAACAGCATGACTGCAACTACTAAGGTAGAAACAGCATGACTGCAACTACAGGTAGAAACAGCATGACTGCAACTACAGGTAGAAACACAGCGTGACTGCAACTACAAGGTAGAAAAACAGCGTGAATGTAGCTCTACAAGAACAAGGATTAGTAGGTAGAGGTAGCCCTACAGGTAGAAACAGCGTTACTGCAACTACAAAGAAATCAGTTAGCTATGAGGTAGAAACAGCGAGTACTATCATCCCAAAACAAACTGTATGAACAAAGGGTAGCCAACATGCAATTGTAAACAAAACTGAAACAGTCATTTTTTTTTTGAATTAGAATTTTGATATTGTGTTTAACTTGTGTGTAAAGTTTGATTTGAACTTGTTCTGAAATAGCGGGATACTTAATTTTGATATTTTTTTAGCTTTAAAATGGATGTTTTAGGCTGCCTTATTTGCTCTGTTATTATCGCATGTGACAGAAGTATGCACAATAACTCTTTTATTAATGATTCAATATACATACAGGTGTGCTTCGTTTGGAAATGTGCAAATATCTAGCAAATATGCTCATTCAATTTTACCTTTCACCCTGCTTTCAATATAACTGATTTCTCTGAAACCAATAATGTTGATTACGTTTTTTACTTTTTATTACTTTCAGGTTCTCGGTACAGAGATGGATTTCGAGCTGGAGACATCTTGCCGATACTTAAAGACAAATTGGCCTTTCTTTCTGGTGAGTATGCAAGCAACACTTTGACACCCTTCCTTACCTCTCAACCATGTAGTTACCTGTTTTATGGCAATCAAAAATTCACACAGTTTATAAATATTACTAGAGCCAGTCTTAGCAAATAAACTTGTTCAAATTATGTCAGGTATGTTCTATATCTTTTCAGTGTATTTTTTCTTTCTATGAAATTTTGTGATAATATGAACAAGTCAAAAAAATCCTGTTTGTACTAAAACAGAGGTTTTTCTAGGAAAAAAACTTGCAAGAGGGAGCACTGCAATTCAGCAGCCCCACCAAGTGGGGGAGATAGGGTTCTCCCTACCAGGGGTGGTATATGGTTTCCTTGGGGCCAAAATTACTATCAGACAGGTCACAGTTGAAGACTGTGGCCACATGTGATCCCTGGTTAATCAGAATTTTATGGTTGCCAGAGGATCTGCTCCCCAGGGTAAGGGAGTGCATGGCCATGGCATGAAGGCACTGTGCCCCTGTTCCCTTGTTTAAAATTTTTTTTTATTAGATGCTGCAAAACATATTCTGGCACACTATTTTTTGAATAGTTAATGCAATACTATACTTCATATCACATTATGAAATTTTTTTGACTGCAATATCATTGATTTTTTAGTAAAGAAGTGGAATATTTGGTTTCCAAGAATATAATTGTGAATAACATCATGATTGATGGGTTGCCTATTCTCCATATTTTGATGTATTGTGTATTATTGTTTTTCAGGTGGGCGTGACAAAAGAGGAGGTCCCATTCTTACATTCCCTGCTCGTAGTAATTTGGATAAAATTAAATATGATGAACTTAGAAGATTAATGATGTACTTAGCTAGTATACCAACGTAAGTATAAACATATTTATACTGTTATGACTAAAAAAAATAAACAGTTTTAAAATGTTTCAATTTTTCTCGAAATTGTATTTTTTTCTTAAGAAACTAACAAAAAGCTGAAAACAAACAAACAAACTTTGGCATGCACATTTTAACTGACATGTCATGACCAGAAACACAGACTTTTTTTTCTACAACTCAATAGACAATTTTCACACTCTTTTGAGTTCAGTTGTTCTTTACCCTTGTAGTTTGACCTTAGCTTTCCTCAAAAAGTATAACATTCTTTTGATTTGGGTTGTAGTTTTCTTCTGAAAGTGTAATGCACTTTTGAAATCAGTTGTAGATTACCCTAAAAGTGTAACACTCTTTTTGACTTTTACAGTTACAGTTTACAGTTTAACTTAAAAAATTTTTTGGCTTAACAGTTTACCCTAAAAGTGTAATACTGTAGAATACTTTATTTTCGCTTGGAATTTATTTTCGCTATTTTCGCTGAAGGGATGATTCCGTGAAAATAAAATCCAGCGAATATACTTTTTTTCCTATATTTCACATTAAACTCATGAAAAATCAGTGAAAATAAATTCCAAGCAAAGCGCCCAAACAGCCTTTTCAGCGAAAATTAATTCCAGGGAAAGTAAAGTATTCCACAGTACTTGACCTTAGATGTATATTCTATCACACGCTTTAGGAATCAAATAAAGTAGCTAAATATACACGTTATGGCATAGTTTTCAATCAATGTATCTTCAAAACTTGAAATGACTGCTGAGAATATCAGCCTGGGGGTATACACTACATGCATCGTCTAGACTGACCTCTAAATACGAGTCAAGTGTTTTTGTCGGCTAAGAGATTAAATTGGAGAGTAGAAGGCTACTTCTTACAATCAGAGATATATAATGTATAAGCGGTGTTTGTTGTCAGTTTTTCATGCTCAATGCAAGGTCAAATTCTTAATTGAATTTAAGATGCGTGACTTACTGAGTGTGTGTTTGTTTGCGTTTATTTAGCTTTATCGTAGTGATTAACAAATCTCCATTATTTTCGCAAGTCAAGGATCTTACTAAATTCTCTTGCTATTGTTTTCGTTGATATTGAAATACATCATGATTGATCGTCTTATCTTTAATTTTGTTTGTTTAGTGTTTATCAATGTATTGTTATAACAGCATTCTAAATCTCATGGCAATACACTAACACTCATCAGTAACATGCAATACCCTCCAGCAAATACATTAAGTATTTGTTTTAATCTGGAACACATAACACACCAGGAGTAAACCAAAATTTCATTTTACCATCCAACGGTCAAAATTACACTGATGTAGTTTATGAAATTGTGAATTTATTAACACATTTCGTAATTCTACTTGATAAAAAAAAAAACATGTTGTTTTTGTCTTTAATTTTGTGCTGATTACTTTAATATACTTGTAATTGCTTTCCCACAGTTAGTAATTCTTACCACTTGTGAATCTGTCGATTTCATTTCAGAGAGGATGTTAGAGCAATAGGTTTCAGTGTGATAATAGATATGAGAGGTTCCACATGGAATGGTGTCAAACCCTTACTTAAAGTATTGCAGGTAGGTTTCTGTGAAAGGGCAGCAAACACTAATATTTTACATATAAGCCAGTACCCAGCCATACACTCAACTATGATTGACTACAAATGTGCGCATTTCTTGTGAGTCATTAGCGATTATAATAAATCAACCAATATCATTCTATACACATGCAGTAGTGGGGGAATATGTTTACAGATACATAACTTTAAAAATGAAACTTATTATAGCATTAATAATAGAGAAAATAGCAAAATATAAAAAGAACAAGAGTGTCATGGGTGTTGTCTTGTTAACTGCCACAAACTTCAAAATGACAAGTGGCTAAGCCACTTTAAAATCGCCTTCCATCGAACATTCATTACCAACATAAAATTCTATAGTTTGTAACACACAATTTTGATGTATATTTTAATGTACTGGTAAGATGCTATAGTTTTGGTGTAACCCTTTTGTTTGCTCATAGTATTATAATGCCGGACATTGCCTTTAACTGAATGCTACTGGAGCAGAAATGTCATGAATTTCTCAAGTTGAGAGAAATTGAAGATTATGACTTGTGATTGAACCACTCTGATATTTGAACAAATTGACTTTGAGAGTCGGCATAGTCCCTCATTTCATAACTGATTAAAAAACTTACTCTTTTCTTCTAAAATCCCACTCTAACTTCATGTTTTAAATACAATCAGAAATTCAAGCATTCAAATCAACCAGAAGCGAGTGTTTAAAAAAATAAATGCAAGTTCATTCAGGGGTGACTTAGTGCGTGGATGAACTTTTATATTGTCATCTGTCTCATACGACCAGGTAGCCTATAGTGATAGTTAAATCATATGGTCCATATCAATGGGCTTCCCCTCTGCATTTATTTTCTGAAACACTGTGTGAGGGCTGTGGGTCTATGCAACTGTTGATTAGACACCACAAACCTGTCTTGAGAAACTTAGAAATAGAAAGGCTGACAAATCTTTCATTTTTGTTTCATGAGAACTTCAGGACATACATGTGGATTCAGCGAATTAGGACAATATTCTTATCTTTGAAACCTGTTTTTTTTTAACAACAATGTTGAAACCTAAAACGTATGCTCTACTTGCTCAATTTCTATAGATGAACACTAGATGGCAGTGTTACACTTTAAAAGTTTGAGTTGTGCTGCCCTCTACAAGCATTAATTTGAAATATTTTGTTTTTACCACACATAGTTTAATTCCCAATTAGTACAAGATAAAACTGAAATAATCTGCTGAATATAGATTTTTAACTATCCTGATTTTTAATGTTATTACTTGTTTACTACAGGAGTGTTTTCCTAGCAGCGTCCACATGGTTTACATCATTAAACCAGAGAACTTTTGGCAGAAACATAGAACTAGTTTAGGTAGCTCCAAATTAAAATTTGAGGTGAGTTGATTGGTTTTATTTACTTTCACATTTTTACATTTTTCAAATGTTTATTTATGTTGAATTATTGTAAAACAAGTGAATAATTATTGCGTTTTTACAGAGTCAAGCATTTATGGTGCATGATAAAAATTTTAGGAGTAGACTTGAAATTCATCTGAGATATGTTTTATCACATTCTTGACCAATTCACCCTAATATTGCCATTTATTCTTGAAGTGGCCCTTTCATGTATGACATGCACTGCCCTGTTTTCAAACAATAACCAGCCAGTGCTTGAAATCAAAGCAGGGACAGATGAACAAAATTGTGTGTAGATAAGTATCATTTGATATTTTCTCTCATTTGGATAGATCGTTTAAAAAAAAAATCCACCATGCTTCTTCCATTTTAGCAAATTCCAATTATTTTCATCTGGAAAACTGATTTTGCTACTTTGCCCAATTATTCAAACAACAATTGAACATGTTGAGTTCTTTCTTTCTTAAATATTAGGTTGATTTTAGCTGCAATTTGTTTGTCATAACTTGTAGGAGTGGGATTCTATCATTATACCGGCCTTCAGCAAAAGTCAAAATAAAATATTGTAGAATACATTATAAGGCTTAGTCACATTGACCCAATCAATGACTCTGTAAACATCAAGCATTCATAGTAAAAGGAAGTTCTATATTTGCTATATTAGAAGTGCGTCTCCAATATAAATACATCTTCAATCGAAGTATTGTATACATAGACACTTCCCAGCCATTAAAGTAGTACATGTATGCTACTAATGGAGCAAATTTATTAATGCACAAAATGTGAACTCTAAAGCGGGAGAGTCGTCACCTGCGTATACGTCAGATGGCCATAGCGAGTCATTGTTATAGTCAGAAAATGAAAAGTGTCTGTCTGAAATTACTAAACGTCTTCATGTCATCGTCTCACTTATTGCTTGTCACTTGCAATGAATTTGTTATCGTGAGAATTATTCAAGAATTGTTCTGTATATGGTTTAGTAACATCACAGTTAAGATATGTATATTTCCTTCTTTTTTTTTTCAGACTTCAATGATATCTCAGGAAGGTATGCTTAGAATTATAGATCAGTCACAATTAACAATAGAATTTGACGGTCATTTGCCATATGACCATGACGAATGGATTGAACTCAGGCTGGTAAGTTTACATTGGACCATGTGAATTTTTTTTTTTACCCCAAATGTTGGCATTTCCCATTGCTGGTGTCAAGCATTTGATGTATAACATTATCAACACCACCACCCGAGTGAAGTGTCGCTAGCGATTTGGTGGAGTGCGCAAGCATCGGTTTAAGTCACTCGTGCAGTACTCGTTGAGGTTTAACATACTATATACCTCGCCCTGTGTTTGGTGTTATTTAATGTATTTATATAAAAGTTAATTCTGAACACAAATTGAAAATGATGAGTAATTTGCAAACAAATATTTAAATATAGGGAACAAATAAAAATATACTAGCTTGTGTTAATTATATTGAAAATAATGGCAGTGAAAAAACTAGTGTAAAACACTAAACAATGTAATCATCTTCTATAATTTTGGTCTTTATTTGAGCAAACCATTGTCAAATGGTCACTGGTCATATTAGATAGATGGCATTTATACATCCGTTACTTTACATTTAAACTGTATTGGGACTGCAGAACGGTAGACACTAATATGCAAGTGGTTTTATACATGTCACTTTGCATTGGGGCTACCTCAAAGTGGTCACTATAGACAGATGGTCTATATCAGTGGTCACTATGAAAAGGTGGTCTTTATGTAAAAATGGTCACTCTATGCAGGTGGTCTTTTTATACGCAAGTGGTTGTTATTGACAGGCGGTCTTTATATAAAAATGATCACTGACATACCGGTAGCGTTGACTGTATTATGATTGTCTACTTCACAGGTCCTTGAGGATTTTATCTGGCAGGCTCTGGATCTTTTAAACAGAATGGAAAATTTACGAGGTGAACTTAGTGATATGGACTTTCCCGATGATGTGCAAGGTGCTAAAGAAATGATTGACGAGCACGCTAATCTTAAACGGCGGGTCTTAAAAGCACCGGTCGAGTACTTAGAAACGCAGGGTCAGAGACTCATACAAAGGCTGTGTGGTGTGAACTTAGAGGAATGTACTACAGACAGTGGATACTCAGGAAGTAGTAGCGGAAGTACGGCGTCTGCGAATTCAGATTTTCAAAATGTGGTGCCAAAGATTTCAAATTTGTTAGAGAATCTGCACGTGACGAGGGAAGAATTACAAAAAATGTGGTACAGCAGGAAATTTAAACTGGACCAGTGTTTTCAGATGAGAGTATTTGAACAAGATTGTGAAAAGGTGAGAAAATATCGCTCGTATTGACATTGTAGAAAACTTTATAGTTCTTGATCTATGGCCTTGTTAAATTCAGAATTGCCCTCATTTCAGTCATGGTTTTATGTTGTATTCTGTATCCCTGTATTTGTTCACATCTCCAATAGAAGCACACATATAAATTAATAATTATATGTATTGCATGTTGGATTATTAAAATATGACTGATCATGACTAGACGTAGTGTTGTCGTTTTCGTGAGCGCATGCACTATAGATCGTAAACAAATTTGGTATATGAACTGCAGCTGCCTTACTTATGAAAACATCAGGTTGAAAATCGATAGTTTCAAAAAATGTCTTCACTCGTCATCAGATCAAGAACTTTTCTCGTGACAACTGTTTTGTAGAGCACTTTTTTTTTTTGCGTCATTGCTTATTCTCGTCTTTTTCTCGTGCAGATGTTTGATTGGATCAGCCATAATAGAGAGCTGTTTTTAGTGAATTACACCGAAATAGGACATTCAACACCCGTGGCCCGTGAACTTCAGGAAGAACACAAGAATTTTACGTCCCTCTCAATGGTTAGTTATATTTTACGCTTAAGTTCATTTGATGAACTTTGCAATTAAAAAATTGTATTCAGAACTGTTGATTTGTAATCAATCCTGCTAACCAGTGAAAACGTTTTCAATGACAACAGTACAACGGGAGTATTGACTGCTGTTTATGGCCGATGTGACAGTGTACTGTAAAAAGTGCATTATACATCTTCCCGATTGAACCGATCGGCAAGACTGTAAAATTTAGCGTAACTTCCTCACTATGAGCTTATGCATTTACAAATATGTGTCTGGCACCTTGGCAATATCACATTATCATTCCATATTTGGAATTTACATTTTCTAATAAGGCAGAATCCCAAGCAATGCATGTTTTGCGTCATAGCTGTGGAAGCCAACTAGTTTAGAAATGGCCGACTACACATCGACGGCTGCATCTTATGTTTGCCAGTACATGTGTGTTTAATTACTGCTGATATAGTTTGTTTATTTGAAAGAACTATAAAAAAAATAATATTACTTCCTTTAACTTTATAAAACTATGGGTACAAGACTTGACCACGTGTGAAGAAGCCTTACTTTTGAAGTTGTGTTGTACATATTAGAGTTTAATTGTCAAGGCCAAGACCATTTTTGCATTTTTCAGGCAAGACATCATT